CCAGGGAAGAGGAGCTCCTTGTGGCCTCCAAAATTCACAACACAACTGATGCTGAATGCTCAGAAATCCTCCTAGCTGAAGTTCCCTAGCTAATGCTATTTCTATCAACTTTTCCCTTCTGCTTTAACTGAGAGAGGATCAAAGCACTGGGAGCAGAGAGCTGTCATTACACAGCCTAGGAATTCTGTATTCCCACCTCAGATTTCGATTCAAGTCGGGGATCGTGTGGAATTCCTCTGAGGCCAAGTGGGTTTGGATGTCAAACCCAGAAAACAATTTTCCCGTTTCATGTGATGTGGGTGTGTCACAATCCCTTTGGCCTTGCCCCTCCGTTACTGGGCCAGGCTGTGCTCCACCTCAGCTGCACTTCCACTGGACTTGAGCTCAGCCTCAGCTCTTGTAAGGAATATAAAGTCCAGCCAATGCCTCTGCCTTTCAGGTTCCACCAAGAGCACTTCCAGTAGCTCTCCTAGTGAATATTAAAATCTACTTACTGCCAATAAAGCACTAATGATCTGTGCTTCAAGGGTATCTTTGATGTGATGATCTCAAAGCAAATCAATTCAGGGTTATCCCACACCCATGCATGAATGTATGGAAAAATAAATCCTAACTTCACTGGCAAACTGTGCCATAATGGATGGTGCCTCACTCTGAGGTCCCAGAGCCTGGCAGTGATGGAGGTGTGAGAGATCCAAACTAAAACTGGTGTTATGGCATCTTCAGCAAACCATCTTTGTTGCTCCGGTGAGTCCAAGTCAAACACTTCATTGGAAAGTTCCCACATAGAAAAGAGACCCCAAACAAACTTTTGTGCCAGAACAAAGTCAGCTCCACTTGCAGGCTGCGAGCAGCAGGCTCCACGTGCGGTGCCGCAAACCTGACGTGAATCAGAAGGTGTTTGCAGCACTCAGCTGGAATCGGGGTAAAGAAAAGGGCTGTGCATTACTCACTTTATTTTGGCAGGATCTCATGGTTTATCAGGCCATGCACAGCCCCTGCACACAGGTCCCTCTGCAGGAAGCTGGGGCTGCTCCCACCAGCAGGCAGAGGTGGAAATCCAGCCCCAGCCCAGTGCTGAGGGGCTTGGCCCATAGGTCTCTGGGAGAAGAAAGGTTACAGACAACTTTGCTTCTGGGGTCTCTACACTGCAGTGGCTTTTGGCTGAGGAGGCACTTCAGCCTTTTCTGATTAGGTTGAGTGCTCTTGTCCTGTCCTGCATCCCTGAGTGGTTGGATGCACAGATGGGCAAAGAAGAGGGGTGAGAGTCACCGATCGGTCAGCACTCAATTTTTTGTGCAGTGCATGAAAAATCTGCAGGATTGCACAAGAAAAGCTTTCCCTCCCATGTCACACTTTGCCCTGAGCACTGGTGGCAGTGGGACTTGGAGCATATTTGGAAATATTTAAATGCACAGTTCTGGCAGAGGAAAGGGAAAATGGCTTCCCTCCAACTACCTCAGGTGAGGAATATTTTCTGCAAATTGCCGTAAGATGTGATGCTTTTTTAAGGCTCACAGCTCCTTGAACACGTGTCTCCTTCTAAGGGATGGATTCCCTCCATGCTGACAGAGTTTCTCGCAGTACAAGCCATGGAAGATGTAGGCAGTTCAATGGGAACAGTCCCTAAAGCTGAGCAGATTCTCCCATTTGTCCAGTTGGGAAAACATCTGCATGTGACCAGAGGCTTCCACGTTAATCTCACCCTCTTGCAGTTCTGGGTTATCCTTTCGTGTGAGTCAGATTTTGTATCTGTACAAAGAGAAGCTTTAAACTGCCTCAAGTGAAGTATTTTTCCAGTACTTTAGCACTAATTAATCATTAAAGTGCCAAGATCAAAGGGTGGGGAACTACAGTGTTGGTATGTTCTTATGATCACATTGCGGCCAGTTCCTCTCATAAATCCTGGTATTTTGTGAGTTTCAAATCAAATCTCCCATGGAGAATGATTTGGCAACAAGATGGTGGGCTGCTTTTCTTTGCACTTTTCAGAAGTTAGGGGAGCTTTGACTCCATGAGGAATGCAGGATCAGCCCCACAACAAAAAGACCAACCATATTTTGGACATTTTGGCACCCAAAGAAGCCAGTGATTCAGGCATGGACATGAAAACCCAATCTTATGGAGAGAGAGTCCCTGTTCTGAAGATCTGGTAGCTCAGTCAGAGAAGCAGTGAAATGGTGGAGCCTGGAGCCTATTCCAGGGGTAACAAGGCAGTTAAAAGGGTGTAAACCTCACCATGAGCCAGCAAGACTTACAACTGAAGTGCTTAAGTTACTTCTGAAAGTGAAGCTTTTAGAATAATGCTGCCGCTTTTGAAAAAAGCGTAGCCTAAGGCCGTGAGTTCAGCGCAGATGAACTCAGCGCTCAGTGGCTGCTGTCTCCTCTCTGGGACAGCCCTGGCACCTGGGGATGCTCCAGCTGCAGGCAGAGGCGTGGGCATGGCAGAGGTTGTGCCTCGGCTTGCTCTGATCCCTGCACCTTCTCAGAGCTGCCACGGGGTCCTGCCTCCTGCAGAAGCCACAGCGCTCCCTTTCCCTCTTTGGTGGGGTTAACTGGTGAGAAATCTGCAGCACCCGAGTGCTGGGGAGCTGGGGAAAGCCAGCTCTAGTGCCCATGGCTCATTAAAGATGGAGAGAGGAACACAGGGGGTGCACACAGCAGGTCCTGCTTTTGTAGGGGCTGAGCAGACCAAAGGGCTCCGTGTTTTGTGTCTGCAGCAGGAGAGACTGGGGAGCAGCGAGCCAGAGGTGAGGCTGGGATTGAAGGAGGGGCAGGGCAAGACAAGCACAAGCCAATGGTACAAGCAACAAAGCATCTGTAATATTAATGGCCAGTAATGGCTGTCCTAGCAGCAGACAGAATGGAGCAGTAGTGTTTCTGAAATGGCTTTTTTTTCCAAAATATGGGATGTTTGCAAAGGCCACTATTCCTTCTTAAAAAAAAAAAAAAAAAAGAATAATTCCTTTTTGCTCTCTTTCTTTCTTTCTTTCTCTTGTGGGACGCCTGGGACTTGACAGTGTGGGCTCTTGTCCAACATTTGTTCTGACCTAGATTTTAATCTCTGCTTTGTTCCCCTTACCTTCTGTTCAGCTGGCTACCTCTAGAAGACATACATATAATCTATAAAACATTTGTGTTTCCCAATAATTTTAATTTCTATTTTCAAGAGATACTCAAGACTGCAACAGAAAGTTTTAAATAGCAGTGCCCATGAATGTTTTGAGCTGTCAGGGCCACTTAAATAAATGTAATTGTCAAGGGACGTGCAGAGCTTTACTTTGTAACCCACTGGTTGTGACAGATCGAAAGCAAAGACAAAAGGAGGGAACAAAGTGCCACCCTGGGAGCACTGGTACCTGTCAGTGGTGCAGGGCAGCTTGTTGGGAGAGCAAAGGTGCTGTGCAAAGTCAGACGTGGAGGGTCCTGGTAACCCGTGCAGTTTATTGAAAAAATATTTTGTTGGGAAGTGTTTTCCTGGTGGGAAGCTGGAAACACAGCTGGTTGTAGGGCAAGGCAGAGCAGGCCATTCCCTGCTGGGGGTTAGAACCACCCGGCTGTCACATCTTTGTGCTGCCAATGAGCACAGCCTTCTCCACAAGGAGGTGAAGGCTTGGGGAGAGCTGGGCTTTCCCAAGCCATGGAGCTGTGTCCTGCTGGCTCACCTGGCCCTTCTGCAGCTGGGCAGGCCCACGGGGACAGGTGTTGGGGAGGATTTCCCGGCGTGTGCCATGCTGGGGTTTCACTCTGGAGGAACCACGTGTGTGCACAGCTCACATTCTGCAGCTACTCCTTGAGGAGGACGAGGTGATGGTGAAACCCCACCGCCCCTCTCCTTCAGGTGCGCACCGCCCGCTGAAATTCACCCGCTAATCCTGTTTGATGAGCCAGAAAGAATGTTTCAAGAATGTTTCATCCCTCTGTAATTTTGTTAACCTTTCCTGGCAACAAAGAAGAAAAAAAGGGCAGGTAATGAAGTTTGAAAGAATGTAAAACCTAGACAGCATTTGGGAAGGGTTCGAAGGCCAACACAGGACTTCTCCACACGGCTCCTCACTTCATCTGAGATGTGGGAAAAAATCCCAAACAACCTTGTGGGATACTAATTCAGTCCTTGGTTTCTTTCTTGTATCAATTCTGCTAACTGTGCCTTAAATTTGGGCCAGATGCACGATGGGTTTTATGATGTGGTACTGTGGGGAAATCTGGGCTGGATTTAACAGAGGCTCTTCTAACAGGGCTGCTCTGCTTGGGATGCTCCAGCTATTGCCTGTGCCCCTCTGGGAATGCCTTCAGCAGGAATGAATGCTTGGGGGCACCAGGTGGGTGAGGTGATGGGGGCTCTGTCAGTGTGGCGAGAGGAGCAGACACTTTCTGACACGCTGGATTTTGCAGGGTGCCTTCCCTTGTTTGGGCAGAAAATGTCAGGTTTTGCTCAGGTTCATTCCTGAGTCAGTTGTGTGCTGCTGCAGGAACCACATCTGTACATTGCCAGGGCACATCCTGCTCCTTGTCCAAATGGACAAAACAGGCAAAGAGGGATCGTGCTCATCCTGGGGTCTCATCCCCCCAGCAGGGCTGGAAGCAGCACAGCTCAGCACTATCTTGCAATCAAAACCTAATCACGAGACTGTCCTACTCCTTTCTGATCATGTCACATCCCAAAAGCTTTGTGGAGGATCAACCAAATCTCCTGTGTTTTCATTTGCTAAGCTCAGTCAAGTGATACAAAGCCCAGAGTGCTTTTTCTGCCAATCTGAATTTGCAGTGATTAAATTGCACTCTTCTGAGGGTTAATTTTCATGGACAGATATGAATAATTATAAGTTAATATGCTTAAGAATCATAAAGAATATTTGGTAGTCTTTACAGCTATTAAGCTAACTGAAATTGGCATAATTCTTTTGAATTTAGGCTCTGTAATTTGGTATTGTCTCTTTTTTTGTTCTCTCCTAATAATCAGATCTTTCTTCACATCTTTTCTCCTCTTTACCCAGCATGTTTTTCTCAGCTCAATTGGTTTTCTCATCACCTGTTCTTAAATCTGCCAGCTGCTACAGAGATTGAGAATGTTGAGATGACTAAACAACAAGGACCCTGTGCATGTGTCTGTAGGTATAATTTAAACACAAAATTCAAAAATACCCTCCTAAGGCAGTGAGTTCCTCACAGTATAAAACTTCCTACAGGAATCTGGGGCTGTGAGTGAGCAAAGCCACCTCAACACCAGCCTGTTGAACTACATGTGCTTTATGTAATAAATAAATACATCATTTATTTATTATATATTTAAAAGGTAAATTGTTGGGGTTTGTACAGGACTAAATGACTACAGCTAGTGCAATGCAGGGTGGCAAACTGGGATGCAACAGTTTGTACTGAGGACAAACCATTCCAGTGGAACACAGAGTTTACCCATTTTTTCTGTGCTTTTGATAAATGTAAATAATTTGAAAAGTTCTTTATGCAAGGCAGAACCACAGCAATTTCACTAAATTTACTAAAAATTAAGGAAAATGCAGTCCGAAAAGGAGCATAAATCCAGTAACTCGTGACTCAGGACTGAATTAAATTCCAAGTGAGACACAAAATCTCTTTATTAGACAAATTTCTGCCTAGGATTCATCCAGGGAAAAATTTAAAAATACAATTTACCCCCTATTTTTATCTGTCTTGAGGCCCTGTTAGCTGGGCAGCTGTGGTGCTGATGAACTCAAATTTATGTGTTCACTCTTGCAGTCTGAGACAACAGAGTGTGTGCCCTTGTTTCTGATGCTTAGCTCTGAGATCCAGAAAAACACTGAATTTCATACAATATGAAATTATGAGCATGTTTTCATGGTGATACATGAAAACAAGCGTTAAAGTTAGATAGAAAAAGCTGAAAGTGTGAGTGTGTAGAGTAGAGAGTTTTCTTTAGTCACTGAGTGAAAAAGTTAAAGTTTAGAGTTTAAAACAGTTTGGAAAGCAGAAGACAAGATGGAAGATTAAGACTTGTTTCTTTTCCTTCTTCATGTTCTTCTTCTAGAGATTTTTGGGTAATAGTGAGTGATTGGACAGAAAATGCCACAGTGCAGCACACAGGTGATGGGTCATTGGGTCATTAAGAAAAACAATATATGTATCTATTGTTAATTGGATAAGAATAAGTATAAAGATAAAATAACTGATTCAGGGCCATTTTGTGCTTTCAAAGCCAAAGTGAGCCACAAAGTGAGCCACAAGGCCATTTTGTACCATCAGAAAGAAATGAACCAGATTGAGGTGAATTGAACTTGTGCAGATAGTCTGGAGAGACCCGAAAAGTTTTGTGATAACATCCTAAAAAACATGAGAAACAAGATCCCAACAGGCTTTGGAGCTTTTGTCCTGACCCCAAGGACTGTGGTAAGTGGGACTCCCCATGAGGGAGTATCCCCAAGGAGCTCAGCTCAGAGGAAACTGAGAAATCCAGGAGTGAAAAAAAAATACAGAAGAAGTGCAGCAGAATCAGAAAGAGAAAAAAGAAACAAAAAATAATTTTTAAAAAAGTAACATTCACAGGGCATCAGCCGTCGCTGGGCTCATGCACCTGAGGTGGCACCAGGAGAGACCATCACCCTCAGCTCATTTCTTCTTCCCAATTTCTTGGTCCTTGAATGCCTCAAGGATGCCACTGACTGACAGCACACTTCCCCTTGGGATGTGATTGTACAGCAGGGTCTCACCTGCAGCCCTGCCCTCTCACACCTCTGTGCTGTGCCACACAGGAGATGCTTCCTGGCTGCTTTCCTGGCTGCCCGGCGTAGGAAGCCGTGGAGAGGGTGTATTATCATTTCCCTGGCCATTGCAGGTGCAAAGAATTCAGTAATAATATTTGTTCTGGAGCCAAATTGCTCTCAGACTGCCTCTGATGTTTATTCAGTTGAGGAGAATTACCCAGCTCTCAGGCTGCACAAGTCACTGGGTAAGAATTCCCAGACAGGGTAGTTTTCTTCCTTTTATTTTATTCCCTTTTGAAATATATGTCTAGACGAGTGACAGGCAAACGTCAAATGGTTTGGCTGCATAGTTGAATGGTACCTGAATATTTCCTCCCTCAGTCCATCCCCCTAAATGCACTTGACCTGTCCCAGTTCCTGGAAACTGGGCTGAGAGCCTCAGAACAGTCTGTCTTGGGATCTTTTCATCTCCTCCTGGTGTTGAGGAGTTCAAAGACCTTGAAGCCATAGAGCTTTTGCAAATACTTTGTTTTTTTTTGATTTCAGTTTCTGTTGCGAACTAAGAAACAACCAGGAAGCACAAAATGGTAAAAAAAAATAAAATACATATGTATATTACTGGCCAACCCTCCAAACCTTAACCTAAGAGAAAGCTGTTCTTAGTTTGAATGAAAAATGCAGTTTGATAACAGGAGAAGTGTTTGAATCCCCTTTTAAGCTCATTTAGACTTGGAGCTTACTGCCAGTAGCAGGCTGCCCTGGTGCCTGTGGCACAGAGCACTGCAGGCATTGCATACTCCCATGGAATGGGCCATGCAGGACATTTCACTGGAGAAGCTCATGGTTGTGGTCACAGGAGCCAGAGAGATGCAGCTGGACAAATCCATTTGATTCCAGTAGGATTTCACATGGATTAAGTCTGTGGCTGGGCTGATGGCATTTGCAGTACTGGATCAATACCTTCCTGCTCTAAAATAATGCCAGAGCCAGTGCTGTTTCCTGGAAACAGTTAATTAAAGGTGAGTGAAGGCAGTCAGGAGTCTGTTAGATTGTCTGTCCATCCATTTGGTTACTTATTTGTCCAAGCAGAGCTGCAGCTGCTCCTGCCCCCTGGGCAATGGATAACCAAGTGTTTTGGTAGAGTCTGTCACATTTATACTGTATCATAATTTTAAAAATTATTTTAGATGTGGGTTTTACTTTAGTGAGTCCTCCTAGGAACACTCTCCACCTCAGCTGGGGCACTTCCCTCAGGTTTTGGAGGTAGCAAGGGGGTGGGAGAGGTCTGGTTCAAAAGGCAGAGCTTTGGTGTGGCTCTGGTCTCTCCAGCACACACCGGCTTGGTGCTGCCACACAGCAAATACCTGAGCTGAGCCAAAGCACCTCACTCAGTGTGGGAGTGAGCTTCACTGCCATAAATCAGGTAGGAACAGGGAAAACCACTGATTTCTGCCATCCAGCAGTTCATTCCTGCTCTTATTCTCCAGTTAGCAATCTATAAAGAAACTATTGCAAGACCTGACTCTTCTCTTCGGAGCCAATAACATCCCCTGTGCCAGGTGGAGCAATAATTCAAAATAGGGCAGGCCTAGGAGAGAGTTAGATGGGGTTAGGAAGCAAATTCCAGAACTCCAGCTCCACTGCACCTGGTTCCTTACTGCTAAAGGCTGAGTAAGGAGAAACTCAATATTGCTGCTTTGCAGCAACGCTGGAAGATTGTAATTTCCATTCCATTCAAATTTTAACATGAAAAAAAGTATTTATGTGGCTTGATAAGTTCCACGCGTCCTTCCCACCTGTTTCCATTTTAATGCAAAAATAGAAACTCTTTAGTTCATATCTTGTTTCCAAGTTGGCAGAAGTCCCTGGGCTGCTCAGTAGTGCTATAATTTAGAGTATGATGTAGCTCTGTGTCTCTGTCTAAAGAATGAAAGACAAACTCTTTAGGCAAAGGGGTGCAGTGGTACAAGACTGGTAATAGATGCCATGGATGGGTTTAGGCTAGAATTAGAGCCAGGTTCCCAACTGAAAGGACATCAGAAAATCTGTTTATGAGGGAAGAAAAGATTGTATAAAAATTATGTTTCTGCCTAAGAAATGAAAGCTCAGCCCAAAAGAAAGCAAGTAACCACTGATATCACAAAAAAACCTGTCCTTCATTCAGTGTTACCCATCCAAGGGGAGCTCTTGAGCTGCCCTGGCCTGAGGGGCTGCTCCACGTACGGCTTGTCAACATGGAGAAAGGGTCTTTTATAAACTGTGGCTGATGTCAAGAATAAAAGACTTTAGTGAATAATCCTGAATAAGGAGCAAGCACTTAAACAAAGAGGCACTGTGGAATTTACAGACAAATGCATGAATTGGTCTGTTGTAAAATGGACGGCGTTTTACTCAAGGGTGCAGTAGACACTTCCAGCCTTTCAAATTTCCCCCAAGTGTTAGAGGCTAAGTGCTAAAGAAGATAAAAAAGAGAGATGCTAATCAGTGATGGGATTGGATCTGTCCTGTGAGTTTTGATAGGTTCAGGCTGGACATGAGGAGGAATTTCTTCAGTGGCAAGGCTGGTAACCATTGCAAAGGGCTGCCCAGGGAGGGGGTGGAGTCAGCGTCCTTAGAGGTGTTCAAGAGGTTATTGAATGTGGCACTCGGTGCCACTGTCTGCTTGACAAGGTGGTGATCAAGGTTGGCTCAGTGATCTCAGAGGTGTTTTTGAACCTCAGTGATTCTGTGATAGGATTTGTGATAATTGATGCATTATCCCATCTCCAGCACACCTGGATTGGCTTCAGTGCTGAGATCACTGTCCTGCAGCTGGTGAAAGGCACAGCAGCAAAATGGGAAAATTCAGTTGGACAGTCTGGAAGTCCCTGCACCTTCACCTCCTCCCACCCAGCCACGTTAGCCCTCCCTTTCTGTGCACAGAGATAACAGCTCCCAGCATGGCAGGGTGCTGATGTCACATCTGCAGTTCCTATTGCACTGCAGGAACACTTATTGCTTTTAAGCTTTGGGGTCAATGAGAAGAAAAAAAAAACAGTAAAAAAGAACTGGTTCTGCCACAGCTCTTTGGCAGAAGAGCAATAATTTCAGTGCACACCCCCCAGCAATGCTGGGTTACAGCAGTGGTGTTGCCTGCAATGAAACACCACAGCTGTGCTCTGCTCTGCCTGAGACGGGAATGAAATGTTCTCTCCTCTTCTTCTGTTTGCAACACGGGCAACAGGATTTTGGATTGCATTATCTGAGTGGTCAACATCCAAATTATTTGTCCAGATGTAGTGCAGCAGGGCAAAGAATCCCACCCAAAAAACCTGTGGTGTTACTTCAAATATGTATGTGAGTATTTCCATGCTTACAGCTCTCCTGTGTAGGTGTCTAGTGCTTCTCACTGATTATATAACCATATGTTTTATTTTGCTCTTAAAAAAAAAAAAAAAGATTCAACACATTTTTGTGACATGTTAGATCAGCTAAAATAACACATATAATAATCCTGCCCAGATTGAATTTAATGCTACCATTCCCTGATTCAGGATTAGAACCCAGTGAGGAAAAGTGCAAGTGTGTGGAAGTGGTTGGGACTGTAAATGCAGTCCCTCTACACTGGGGACACACTGATCTCATTTAGTACAGAAATAATATTTTTCCATGACCTGGATGTACACAGATGGTCCAGTCCTGCACAGTACAGGAAAAGCTCCCGCTGAACTAAGAGGAAAATCAGGTTGAAGATTCATGATTGCAATTGAGGTCACTACAGCAGGATCAGCGTGTGTGGAAATACGCTGATATTGCAGTTTTTCTTTGGAAAAAGTTGTGGTCCAAACACGGTGCTCTACTCTGAAGAGTCACAGCAAGAATTGTACAATTCCTGCAGTAAATCTCAGCTCCCCTTCCACTGAGGCTCTCTGCAAGCACCTCACAAACTCATGCTTGTGAGCCAAATCTGCACTGGATTATCTGCATGTCCAGCAAACAGGTTCTCCAGGTGCTACGTGGTAACACTCAGAAACTCCTGATAACTCCGTGTGGCACCACAACAGAGCCAGGGCAGGCCTGAGTCACAGCGCTCAGGGATGCTTCCCAGACACATGGCTTTCAAGGATGAGGCACAAGCTGAGCCTCAGGTGAAGTTTATCACAAGTTTGGCCCTTCCTGCCAAACCCTGGGACGGCTGGCTGACAGGGAAGTGAGAACGACATGGGGTAACAGAGCACAGGTGACATTTTGTGACACAAGGAAATGGCCTGGCAGTGCTAACTGCCCTGTGGGGCTTCACACTGCCGTGAGGGCTAAGCCTCCAGGAGAACTGGATACGGTACAGCAAAGGGAAAAATGTCTTTGGGCAGAGTGTGCAAGCAGGGCAGTCTCAGGTGAGCTCACTTCCAGTGTAGCTGAGAATTCAATGCAGAAGGGCAGCTGAGAGCAGCGATGGGTTTGTTCCAGGCACACCAAGCCAAGCCCACCTCAGCTCTCCTGCAATAGGGCCATCTGTGGGTCTGGCTGGTGAACTTTAGGAATTCAGTGCCAAAGGTGTGCAGTTCACCTGTAAACAGAAGTGATTCTGCATCTGGCAATAAAAGGCACTGTTGCAGCTGAGCCTTTCTCACCAACCTGTGTTCCATGGTTTGCACAACCAACAGGGATAGACTGCGAGTTATTAAAAATAATAAGCTAAAAAATGACATATCCCTGCCTGGGGAATGAAATCCTTGACACACCAGATGGGCTTTCTTATCACTGATTTCTCCTGGTTACCCACTCAATATTGATAACATGCTCAGAGGAGTTCAGAGAGTTGTGCCAATAAACACAAAAGCCTAAAAGTCTGCTGCCTTGTCTGCAACAAGGCTTCATGATAAGAGATGAGAAAAGAAAGTTCTTTCCTGTAGTTATAAGGAGTTAAAAGCTGTCTTTTTGGAGAATGGGTATAAATCTGAACATTCACAGTCACTGGAGGTCACTGGTGGATCCTCTCAAGCTCTTGGCTGGTGTCTGCCACACATCTTTGTGTGAGAGAGGTTTCATGCATTACTTAGAACTGAGCTGTTGTTGAAACACTAATTTGATAGTGTTCAGAAACATTCATAAATAGTCTGCTAAAAAGGATGAACAGAGAGAAGAGAAATTTTGCAGATGATGTGAATCTGGCCACAAAGCACTGCTGAAAGGGTTCAGGATCCTGAGTGGCTGGGCAGTGAAATGGCTGATGCAGGGCAGTGCCAACAAAGGCAGAGCACGTGCAGAACACTCACCCTCACTGTACTTCCACACAGATAAGCCCTAAAAATAACATTGGGCAAAGACAGCTGGGAGGCCTCTGCAAATATCATTTAAAGTCCATCAGAAGAGACAACAACCACGTTAGGAATGAGCTGGCAAAGAGGCAGGAACAAATCAGAAGACATCATTACAGCATTCCTTGGTGAAACTGCATCTCCATGGTAGGGTCTTTTCTGGAACACCAGAAGAGTTGGGCTGAACTGGAATGCACAGGAAGGAAAGCACGCAGGATGAGGAGAGATGGGCAACAGCTTCCACAAAGATGGAAAAATAAGGAGATGAGGTGCCTTCAGAGTGGAAAGGGATGACAAGAAGCAGGAGGTTCAATAAATGTCTATCAGATCATGACTGGCACAGAAGAAAGCAAACAGGAACTGGCTGTTCACTGGTTCTCCTAAGAATTAGAGGGACCTGGTGGTGCTGTCACACAAGAAGGTTTAAACCAACAGAAGGAAGTACTTTTTCATACAAAGCATAATTAAATTGTGGAACTCACTGCCACAGGATGTTGCGGAGGCCAAAAGTTATAAATGGCTTGAGAAAGGGATCAAAAACATTTGAGGAGGACAGATCCATGGGTGGCTGTTAAAACATGCTGGTCTGCAGGCAGCCTCTGCTTCGGGAAGTCCATAAACCGCGGATTGCCTGGAGCAAGGAGGGTACAGCAGGGGAGGGATTGATTCTGCATCGCCTGCATCACCTCCTGGCTATGATGGGAGATGGGATACTGGGAGATGGGATACTGGGAGATGGGATACTGACCCATGTGGCCTTTTGCTGTGACACTGGTCAGGTCCCAGCTCTGCTGTCTCCTCTTATCTTAATTTAAAAATAAAAATCAAAAAGCAAGAAAAATACCACCTAAAACAGAAGAGGGGGAAGAGGCAGCCCCAGCCCTCCACACACTGTTAGTAGGCAGCCTGGTAGTTGTTTTATTTTCTTTAGAGTGGACTTTGTGTTGCAAGTGGCAGGAAGCCATGAACCACAAAAATAAAATAATTCTAACCCTAGTGCTAAGTAAGGAAAACAAAGATGGCTCAGCAATTAGCAGCATTATATATGTTAGTACTAAGTAACAACAGATGTCAGGACTTGAGCCCTTTGCATTCCTCGCAATCCTTTGGAAACCAAAGCCTTTTGACGTCGCTATACATTATAGCAGTTATTTTGGGGCTGGGAGAACAGCAGAGGCTCTTTGAACACTGAAATATGTAGGTTGCTAGGACTGTTGGTTCTTACCTGCATCTCCCTCCCCATCCTGTGTCCCTCTGCTGCCTTCCTGGGCTGGTGTGTGCTGTAAACCCTGCTCTGTAAAGACATGCGCTGGCCATGAGTCATTAGCAAGCATGCGAAGCTAATTGGCAAAATACTCATAAAAGATTTTGAAGGTGGGTTAATTACAATTCATTACACTGTAAACTGTCCCCAGGCTATTGTTAAAAAATGCAGGAGTTTCAAGGTCCAGTATTTTATGATTCATTTTGCCATGCAGTGAAAAACAGACTCTATATCAAACTACATTCATTATAGTTAAGACCACAAAATCTTTATTGGTTTTCCCAACATTCCCTCCTTGTTATGAGCATTCATATGGACTGCACATTTCTAGCAATTGGCAAGAAGGCATGAAATAAAATTTATTATATTTTCTTACCTTCTACTTGGTGCAACCTTAAAAACTGCCCGTTCTCGTTGCTTTACCTCTTCCCAACTCAGTTGGAGCTGATAGGATGGCACATGGAAAACAAACAGAAATGACTGGGAACAACTTTGCCACACCAATGATTCAGTGTGATGTACCTGAACGCTGCATGTGCACACAGGAACTTCAGCTCCAAAAGGATACTGGCAATGAAATGGAAACAGTTTCTCCCTCTAGTTATAACAGGTAATTAAAAAAAAATAAATCAGAATAGATACATTTTTACCAATCACTGGTATTTCCAGATGGAGGCTCTTGTAGCTAAACCCAGGATGCACCTTCAGAGAGAAAAAGGCTCAGCTTTACCCACACAAGTGACATTCCCCACATGCTCTGCTGGACCTTTGTCTCCTCAGAGCCAAATTCGCCACATTATAAAAGAAGATAACAGAGCCTTTGACTGTCTTTGCTGATGCCAGGACTGTCAAGTACTAGTGAGTAACTTGGTATAAATTGTCAATACTGCTGTGTTGAGAAAAATTTAATAGAGGACCCAGCTGTGACCCCTGTGGGAGCAAAGCCAAGCACTGCTCATCAGAGCCACCTTTGTGCCCCTCTCTGGGGTGTTCCTTATCTCTTTGTGCTGGCTGGCACTTGGGCTCTCCTTTGAGGCTTAAATGGTGCCATTCAGCCAGGCTTTGCTGAGCTCTGCTTTTGCAACTCCAGGGGTTCTCCTGGGCAGGCCCTGCCTGTGTGTGACTGCACCCAGTCCTGCTCTGCAGGTACAAATATGTCCCTCAGGGAGTCATTGTGGGCATTCCCCGCTCGGCCGAGCTAATTTTGGGGTTAACACATAAACATATCATTATTGCAAAGTAAATGATGGAGGCAGCCAGGGACCACGGCTCTCCCCCATGAACAATGTTGATGACATGGGTGGATTTGGTTCTTTCAGTTAATATTTTACTTTTTGACTTTTTTGAGGTGATGGGGAGAGGGGGAATACTGAAGAAATCTCTCACTCAGGCAATCATTGAATTGCTGGTCTTCGTTTTTTCTTGCTGAAACCTCTAAATCTTTCACTGAAACTGGACATTTTTGGAGGCAAAGTTTTTCATTCAATTGAAAAATGCCTTCTCCATTACGAAAGAATATTAATAGCGAAAAACAACCCAAACCCTTCCAGCTTGAAATTGGCCACGTGGGAATATCAGTTTGTTCTGGTAAGACTCCGTAATGGATTTATTGCAGCGTGCAATGTTTTTGTTTGCATTAACGCAGTGTGAAGTGATAAATATCTTGGGTTGGTTCTTTTGTCTGAGGTTTCCCTGGGAAACTGAATTTTCTTAAATGACAGCATCAGAATTGCCATATTTATTAGGACCAGAACTCTGGTTCCCAGCAGAGACATGCAGAGAAGAGAGAAAACTGACCTGAGCACTTACGATATTTGCCCTGGGTGTTTCACCAGGCTCCACATCTGCTCTGTCACCCTGGGGCTGATCCCTTCCGAATGACGCCACTGGAAGCTGCAACACTGGGAATGGGTCACCTGTGCCTCAGGATTTACAATGAAGACATTTTCCTACCAGGAGATGCACCACATGGATGTGCCTCTTGCTTCCCCTCCTGAAATGGTCTGCTGAGGACCAAGAACTGGGCAGATCCCAGAAGGTTTTCCTGGCACAGCAGCCGGAGCTCAGCTGGGTTTTCAAAGCCGGTGGGCGCTGGGAGCAAAGAACTTGGAAATCAGAGTTCAGTGACAGTGATATTTATGGGTACTCTGACTAATTTCTCTCCCTGGGACCTAACAACTATATCCAAAAACTAACAAATCTTCTTTTGCCTTGTTGTGTTTTGTAAGAATTATAGCTGTTCCTGTTGCCATCTCACCTGGAAGCAGCACACGGAGCAACTCTGGCAGCTCCGCTTCGTGACACTGAGCAATGTCAGTGCTGTCATTGGACAGATGGACCAGTGACTGAAATGGAAACAAAGGAGGAGCAAATGAGTGACCAAACTTTTCCAAACTCTCACAGATATTTGTTTCTAGTGGTGGAGGTATTTTGCAAGTGGCAGGTGTCAGTATTAAGTACTGAACTCTTCATTCTCCCTTTGGTCTCATTAAAATTTGGTATTTGTTTTTAAACAGGACTGACCTTTTTCATCACTCCTCTTTATGGTCATTCCTCTGTAAGGCTCACAGATGCTGAATTTGGGCAGGACCTTTTAGTCACCATATAATCTATAGTATATAATATATAATATGTGAAAGCTCCAAAATTTCAGAGGCTCCATTAAGAATATTGTGCAGAAATTGGGATTTTTGCCATTGCCTTGATTGGCTCCAAAATTATACCCTTGCAAGATAACTTGGAAGTCATCTTTGATTTGGAAATCATCTTGACAAGTGCTATGATCCATTGCTCTCCAAGGAGATTCCTGCTACTTCATTGTTTCGGTGAGGCTGTAAATAAGAAAAGAGCTTTACTCATCCAGTGCTCCTCTGGTCCCAGCTCAACTCACAGTACTCAGCAATGGGCAACAGCAAAATGTTAATCAAATTCCTTCACATCTCAAAACAAATGTTGAGTAGAGCTTCTCCAAGGCTGCAGAAAACTCTCCATGGGAAACTGTCAACATTTCTATTTAACATATTGTCTCAACATTTGGCATCTGTGAATCAACTGGTGAAGTGTTCAGGAAAAGAAAATTTTTTTAGATATTAGAACTATATATCTATGTGAGTTTATAAGCATAAAATGTAAATATCCCTCTATCTCAAACAGACATACCACCTACATAAGGTTTTTCCTTGCCATACATGTGTGTGTGTATATGTAATATTTATATATGACAAGAGGAAAGTTTTCAGCCAGCTCCAGCTGGCAGTCAGTCAGCTTGAAGGTAGAGTTGTTTTTCACTTGTTTGGTTAACAAAGTCCTTTTTGACAAATGGGCTTTGATCACCAGGGGCTGGACACCCCAAAACCGGCTCTGGGATGTTCTGCCTTTGGGATTGGACATCCCTGTTGGTGCTTCCAGTTGCTGCCATCACTTAAGATCTCTGAACTTTTCTATGCAGGTATCTGGGGAGAGAGCTGGGCCCACCTGCCATCTGTGGCAAAAATCCCATTGACCTCAGCAAACCTGGTTTTCTCTCCCAGTCCCTAGAAGGTTTTTACAGATATGCAAATAACACACTGTCCATCTCCCTTAATTAAAGCCTCCCCCTTTTGCACTGTCCATGGTATTATTCTCCAGTTCCTTCAATCCCTGCTCTCATTCCAGGCCCAGCAGAAGGACCACCCCCCCTCCTGCTTCCATTGAAATTCATCCAGCTTGGTGAGGTACTTGCTGAAGGTCCCTCATGTAAAGTGCTTCCTCCAGTAAATTCAAAGGGATAAGACATCTCACAATTGGCTTTTATAACCTTACCGAAAGTGTGGCTCTTTTCTACAGAAAAGCTGCTGACATTTTCTCTAGCATAGAGAACTGCTCAGAGACGTGCAGCACTTCTCACTGAACCAAACCCTGTGGCTCAGAGCAGGGAAAAGTGTCAGAAGTGGTTGCACACACGAGGCACAGCTGCCACTTTTGGAGCCCACAGCTTGCCAGCAGAGATGCCATCTTTGTCATCTTTGACAACTTAATGGGATCACTGCCATGAAGGCACCTGGGCACTGAAGCCCTTCAGTGAATTCAGGTGCCCTGTGTGACCCTTCCCACTGGGCAGACGGAGCAGCAGCACTGGATTTGCTCACCATGTTTATGTCATGATGAGCACCTCCAGGCAGGGCATTCTCACAGCATTTCTGTACAATGGCTGATAGAAGGCCCTTGCCTCAGCTCAGCCAGGGCTACAGAGGCAAAGAGCAGTGCTTGGCAGGCTGCAGACTTCCAGCTAGAAATCTAACACCAAATAGTTCTCATTCTCTCCTGCTCTTGGCACTTGGCCTCATTCAGGATGATTTTGTTTTTTAAAGAAGGTACAAGACCAGATCCTGAGGGGCCTCTATCTCCAATTCCCATTACAGTTTACATTTCACTCACTGGCAGACTGTCTCAGAAGTGTCCCAGGGTTTCCTCTTCAGATTTTAAACCAGCAGAAAACAAGACAGCATGACCTCTCTCTGGTCCTGGAGCTGCAGCTGTAATCAGAAGCTTTATGATGAAGTTCAGCTGGAAGAGCAAAGGAGAGGAGAAAAAAAAAAAAACCAACCCAAAACCAAAACGCAAACCAAAACAGGGGAATGCCATCAAAGTCTTTCAAAGTCAGAAATTCATTTTACCTTTGTCAATGGCTGTGGTTTTCAAGGATAAAGATCAAAGTGCTGACCGTGGGCAGAGCTCTGACGAATGCTGGGCTCAGCCTGTGGAAGCCTGGCATTAGTGCCACACTTAGGCTGTGTCTAGACGAGCACGGGGCGCTTGTGCCAGCTTTGGCAAACTCGGCACCCGAGTGCTTGCATCAGAGCTGGAGCACAAAGAGTGAGACATCCAAATTGCAGAGGAGAGAGTGCAATCAGACTCCAGCAGAGTGGACCTGGACAAAGGAAGTTTAGGGGGAAAAAAGGGACAATCAACCAAAAAAACCCCCAAAAAAACCCATAAAAAATCCATCCCTAGAAAGACAGCTGAGGTGCACCCCATCTTCCAGGTCTTTGCATTGTGATTAATGTACACAGAAAGCTTAGATAACTGGGGGAAAGCAAAGCCAAATTTTTATCAATACAGATGAGCTGGCTTCATATTTCTCCAGCCCTTTCATGTGGAAATGAGACTGCATTTGATGGGGCCAAGCCCATGTTTGAAATAGCTCAGCTGGGATTTGCTTGTGGTGAGGGTTCAGGTGCCTGTGCAGAGAATCCTACAGCTGGACCCTTCCTGGGGGCAGAGAGTGCCTCCAGCTTCCTGCCTTTTCCTCCTGGGGAGGACAGAAACTCTTGCTCCACACCATCAACACACACCAAGCCTGAGCTGATGGACTGGGCAAGGGACAAGGTGGGTTTGGCTGCTGAGGGGTCCTGGCCTGCAGGGTCCCCACGTTCTTCCCATTCTCTTGCACAGGCCCTTAAAGATACCCCACTGGCCACATCCTGGAGGAGGTGGGTGAAAGGGGCAGGACACACACACACACACGGAGGTTCAGCAGCTCAGGCTGTTACACCTGGGGCCCTGCTGGACAGCCCCACCACCAGAGCGTCTCAAAGCTCCCCAGGGCCTTTAAACATTTCTCCTCACGGCTACTCTAGCTTCCACCAGCCACAACAAGTTCAAAAGAAACTGCAGATTGATGTGGGCAAACATGATCTGCAATGGATGAAGACAGACCAGAGGAAATATTTTCATAAAGCAGCTGGTTTCAGCTGTGCTTCACACCAGGGAATGTGCTGCCCATTGTCAGGAACATGGAGTAGGACTTGCTGGAAACAATGAGCTCAGAGACTGCTCAGAGCTATTCTCAGACCTGCTCCTGACTCACCTGCATGGCCTCGGGTGAGTTACTCGCAGATTTGTGCATTAGTTTTACCCACTGGTAGTGGCAGAGATAGTAACAGTCTCACAGAGTGGTGAGAGAATTAGTTAATTAATATTTGGAAAACAGTTTTTGCCTTGACGTCTTTGTGCCTTTGCTTACCCATCAGTACCATCAGAGATAATAACTGTCTCATGGAGAGGTACAAGGATTAATTAATTATTTGAAAAGCAGTTTGAGATTCTTGGATGAAAGGTCCTATGTGAGTAAAACATATCATTAAAAACATCTTCTGGTCCTCTGTGAAGTTAAAATAAAGCCGTAGCTTCTTAGTCATTCAAATAATTAAACCATAAATACTGTTTATTTTAATCTTCCCTTTAAAAAAATAATCTAATCTAGGCAGTGATACCAGCCAAATAATGAAAAATGTTTCAAATTCAGGAGACCTATCAATTTGAAGAGCTTGATTCTTAATTGTTTTTTGATGTCTATCATTGGAAAGTGAGGGCAATTATATTTACTGATGCTGGGGCAGCTGGGAGGACGCCTGCACACTCTCCTGGGCACAGCAGCTACACAGGGTTTCTCACACTCTCCTATTTGACTTGCTAACCAGCAGGGAGGTGCAGAACAGCCCATCTTACAGGCATATGCCAAAGCGGCTTCCCCAAAAAACGGGGGCTGCAGGAGCAGCTTCTCCTCCCAGGGATGGTGGAAAGGGGACAACTGGACCAGGAAAAGGCACCATCAGCCCTCAAAGCAGCTCACACTGCTTGTTTCTCCTAAAACTCAGCACTGAGTGGGTCCTGCACAGGTCCACAGGGACAGAGACCCCACAGCAGCACTGACCAACACTGCACAGGAACAGCAGGAGAAGGGATGGGGTCTATATTTAAAATCATCTTTTATTTAGAGAGGTACATGCTAAATGTGGAAACCCCTCTGAGGATTTATTGTAAATTGGGGCATAAAATACATGCATTTGGCCCATGTATCTCTCTTTGTCTCTAGTTTTTGTGCATGTTTTTGTTTTACAAAGTACATAGGGTGAAGCAGAGGCTTGTAGGATGAAGTTTTTTAATTGAAATGAGCCTCTTTTAAGGTGTAACTACTGCTGGGAACCTGCTGTGCTGGTCACCCCAACCAGCACCCCACAGAGGCTCCCCCAAGCTCCGAGGGCCTTGTCTCACCCTTTCCATGGCCTCCCACTCCTCTCTGCCTCTAGAAAATTTTGCAGCTATCACCAGTAGCCTGTGTGGGAATGTGGGGAGGAAGAAAGGATGTAATTGCCTTCCTGAGCCCCAGTGCTTTCATTAGTTAAATGTCCTCCCATCTTTCCATGCTAGTCCAGCTTGTACTGAATTTTCATCAGGCCAGAAGAGGCCTTTAGGGCCATTTGAAAGCAACCATCAGATAAAAGCGATTGTCATCCTCCTTATGCGGCAGGCAGGGAAGCAGACACGG